AGACAGCCCATTGTGTAGCTTTATGCTTAATTACAAACAAACAAACATAGTAATGGCTACCATGATTAAGATATATATAACCCTCTTTCTTCTCGGCCAAGCTAATCTTAACCGGGAAAATCTGCATAATATTCTTACAGAAGTGAGTTTCCGAGACAAGTTTTATTCGGCATATTAATAAAAAGAAATCCACATTGCGACTTCTAATCATTTATGGCTAAAGAAAACCTTAAAACAGACGTTTTTGTACACTATTAAATATAAACTTTACAAGAATAAAGACCCGTTATTTTCTAATAAAAACGATTGTCTTATTGCGTATTATTATTATCCGTTCAGATATGCAAATATGACAAACTGTTTAAGTAGTAAAGGCATGCTACAAAGTTTACATTTTCACTATTAGTATTAGAGAAACACTAACGCATATTTAACGAGTGTAATACTCAGTTATGTCTTACCACAATAATTTAATTTATAATGTAATCTTACTGATTAAATAGAATTAATGACAACATGGACCATATTACAATAAAAAACGCTTTCAAATTATAACGATGAAAGCGTACTTTCCGATCTTGTTTTTTCTATTCGTGTAAATATTCCTTCACGTATGTTACTGGAGCTTCGAATCGATACGTTTTAGAGATATAAAGTTTAGGTTAGACTGAACTTTTTACAGTGAACTGCAGTTCCATATACCCATGTAATAGGCATTATGATATATCTTAACGTAAGAAAAAATGTAACTGTCGTTCTCTGCATATTATATATACAAACAAATGCACACGCACGAGTCATCGCTTTGAATCTACGTGATTAGCTTTCACTTACCTTCGCACATAGGTTCTCAAATTATAGTTTGTTTAAAAATTCTTTACTTTATATATATACGGCTACACCAGGATTTCCAGGTTGTAAAATATCTTGCACAATATTTATAAACGATTCAACGTTGCTTGTTCAATCCGAAATGCCTTTATAAATAATAATAAAACACAATCAACTTACCATATACGATTAATAAAAAATACTAACAACTTAGTCTCTTATTATACAGTTTTAAGTAAGGCAAACACATTGCGACGGAAATTTATCTTACTCTTAGCTAAAGTGGAAAATCGTCAATATTGTGGCAGAGTGAACAATTACTGTGACTGTTGAATATTCAGGAGTTGTGTCAAATTATAACTTCATAAACAAACTTAGAGGCTTTATTTCTGTTTTAACAAGGCACAACATTGACAGTTAACTATTTTATACCCTACACAAACAATTTCATGGCAAGAGAACCTTTGAATTGCTGAACCCTTACAGAAGAACTAACTTGTATGAACCACAATATTAATAATATACTTATAACAACAGTAAATACCACAGCCATGTGCCCAGAATAATAATGTTACCAATATACTGATAAAAACGGCAAACACCACAGCCACACGCCAGAATAACAATGTTACCAATATACTGATGTCAAATACGACAGCCACGGGCTCTGGATAACAACGTTACTAATAATAATATACTGAAAAAAATCAGAAAATACTACCGATCAAAAATCTATTTTACCTGTCGCAAGTAAAAACCATTTATTATAATGTTTTATATACATTATACAATAAGCAATGGGAGTTTTAACGCTAAAAAGCAACTACATTATAATTACATTAATTCATGAAAACGTTTTTCTACAAGATATCTTGAAATTGAATTTTTAAATATTTCAAACCGAAATCAAAAAATAATTACATGGAATAAAACTTTACTAGACGCATTTTGCCGTTGTGAATTTCTGTAAAAACAGGCCTAAAATATAATGCATCATTGAAAGTTTACGTGTTTCGACACTATCGAACAAGTATTAGCCGTAAACGGTAACAATAATCGTTAGCCAAAAGGTGGTATTTAAGCATGCTGGCGTTATTTTATCAACGAATTTCAGTATTTTGAACTTGAGCGTAAAGGCATCCCAACAAAGTACTTACCCAAGGATAAGGAAATACATGTTAAAATCAAGAAGAACAAAACTCTAAGTGTAGACATTATGATCAGTATCACTACTGTTGTTGTTTCGCCTACAACTATACTGAGTGCAACACAAGAATTAGGTCTGCTTTGTTCACCGAACGTATTTAACAGAAAACACAAGTTTCGGTTCTCACTAGCTTTAAAGTTTAATAAACCTAAATATTCACTCAGCTGTTTAAACGTCTTTTACTTCTAACTTAGCAGCAGTACATCTGTTGCAGTGCAATGCCCCACGTCCACACGAAAATGTTCCGTTTCTTGTTTACAAACTTTACGGTTTGCCACAGTTCTTCGTATTTTTATCCCGCATGTTAACCTATCATGTCACAAATGTGATTGGTTGAGTTCCCCACCCATGAAGTTTCTATTTACGCGCACTCAGTACGAAAGCCCCGCCTCTGTTTCTATGGTAGAATTGTATGCTTGTTTCGATATCCGTAACTTTCAGGTCAAGCGAAGGAGAAGGGGAGGATACCAGCTTGATCAAAAAGCGGCCTTGCAACAGATAAGCTAGTATTCTTTAACTGAAGTTATAAGTATTTGATATATTCAGATATAAGTAGTTACAATATGTTCAAGTTTTGACTTCACTTACCACAACACAAAACGTTTAATCAACAAAACAGCAAGTTTGATTTCAATCATACTACAGTTTGGAAGCTGTTAGACTATTTACTTAAGCCACCTCTTTTTCGTTTTACATCTCCATAAAACATTTCCAAATCTATGTATATGTTCGTTAACTGAATGCTTTTTCTTCTCTCACCAATGAAGGAGACCATCTCAATAACTTATGGTTACTCCAACCTGTAGTAAGCAAGGCGTAATCGTTTCTGTTTGTAGAAATGTTTTGATAAAAATAGCTGAAAATTTGAGGGATTTCATCGAAACAATGTGCCTAGATGAAATATTGTATACTGGCGTGATGAATGGTAAAAGTCTAGGATCATAGAAAACTTAGAAAGGAAAGAAATGTAGCTGAGCCAAAGTTCAATAAATCAAAGTCTTTTAGCACAATAATTTTTACAATCACATAATCTAGACCCTTTCTTCACGGTCAAGGTCACAACAGAAATCATTAATATTCCATATCTATGGAATGAAATATAATGTTAAAGTTAAATATAATGAAACAGGTTTGTAAAGTGGTATTCAAAACGAAACAATGGTCAACGTTTCAGAAGAAATAAGTACCCACGTGATATCTCTGCGGGTTAAGTGACCCAACAAACTCATATATCATCAGCCAGAATATTTACAGCTATCGTAGTTAATATTACAAAAGAAACATCTAAAGTCGTTTCCCGCGTTTATTGTAAATATTTCTGAGACTGTTGACAAGTGTCAACATACAAATCCAAATCACTCAATTCGTTTGCAAGAACACACAAAAAGTTTGCAAAAGTCCGACAGATATTTGAAACAAATTAAGTTGTACAAGGCACCACCTTATTATAGTTATATTGCATAATAAGCTTACGTAAGATAAAATCTCTCGAGTACAGAAATAAGTATTCAAACAACTGTTTAAAATGATTTAATATCTGACATTTATAGTTTAAAGCACCTTAAACTGTACTAGTATAATTAGTAGTTGCTTGGATTTAAATTTTTTTTTTTTATTGCGTTGTTTTCCATTCAAGTTTTCGCTTTTGAAATATTTCGTTTAACGTATAACATGGAAAATTCAACAGCGTCTCTGTTGCTGATATACACTGAGTGGTCACAAGTAAATAGACACTTAATTTTTCGTCATTTAAATGATTTATGCTAACTAATTTGTGTTCACACAGCACTATATGAATGGAAATGGTCCGCACACTAATTATCTTGTGCTACAACATGCCTAGAACTCAATTTTCTCTCGAACTGTCAGATTTTGTTAGAGGAAGGATAGTTGGTGAAATAAGTCAGCGGCAAATTTCGCATTATTTGGGAATCCCGCTTTCGACAGTCAACAGAATAATTGTGCAGTTCAGGAAACACGACAAGGAAACAACTGAGCAGAGTCCAGGTCGTCCT